CAGATGAATGGATTAAAAAACTTTGGCACATCTACACAATGAAATACTATGCAGCTGTAAAAAGGAAGGAACTCCTTCCATTTGCAACAGCATGGATGGAGCTGGAGAGCATTATGCTAAGTGAAATAAGTCAGTCAGAGAAACATAAATATCACATGCTCTCATTCATTTGTGGATTATAATGAACAACGTAAACTGATGAACAAAAACAGATGTACAGACAGAGAAGCATCGATCAGATGCTCAAAACTCAGAGGGAAAGCAGGGGAGGGTGGGGTGAGGGGGAAAGATCAACCAAAGGACTTGTATGCATGCATATAAGCATAAGCGATGGATGTGGATAACAGGGGGTGAGGGTGAGGGCAGGGTTTGGGGGATGAGGGGACATTGGGGGGATAAGGACACATTTGTAATATCTTATTCAATAAAGAGGGGAAAAAACAACAGCTGGAGATTCCATCTAAATTGGACAACTGGCCGAATAAAAGCAAGGCACCACTGGACTGAAAAAAAAAGAAAGAAAGAAAGAAATGCAGAAGTAACCTGGATCACTTCCAGAGCTTTCTCTAGTGAGAGCATATCTAGATCACACAGAACCAGAGAAAGTAAGATCCAGATAGCACTTAAAAAAGCAACTCTTCTAATACCCTCATTTTAGAGTTGGGGAACAAGGCCCACGAGGGAGAAGATTCACCTGATGTTACCCAGTGACGAAGCTGAGACCTGAAGAGGGACTTCCAATTCTGAGTCTGATGTTCCTTCTGATAAACCATATTTCTGCTCACAGCTTTTGGTTTAGAGGTAACACATCCTGGGCTAAAATACTCTCTTCTGGCCCGTATAGAAACAACTTTCTCTACCCTTCTTTTGCTCTAGTTAAACCTTTCTTTTGCAACATCATGGATGGACCTAGAGGGTAGTATGACAAGTGAAATAAGTCAGTCACAGAAAGACAAATACCACATTTCACTTATTTGTGGAAATCTAAAGAACAAAATAAATGAACAAACAAAACAGAAACAGATTTGTAAATATAGAGAACAGACTGATGGTTGCCAAAAGGAGAGAGAGTTAGAGGATTGGGTGAAAAAAAGTGAAGGCATTGAGAACTAAAGATTGGTGGTTACAAAAATTGTCATGGGGATGTAAAATACAGCGTAGGAAATATAGTGAACAATATTGTGATAACTATGTATGGTGCAAGTTGGGAACTAGAAATATCTGGGGAATGCCTTGTAAAGTAAATGATTATCTAACCACTGTGCTGTACACCTGAAACTAAGATAAAATAATATTGAATGTAAACTATAGTTTAAAATATTAAAAATTTTAAAAGACTTCCTTTGATACCTATGATTTCAAGGTAGGACAAAGAGATATTTCCCACTTAAACTCTTAACTTTAGCACCAAGTATAATTAAGAAGTACATAACTGGCAGATTGCCAACAAAAGCTTTGCATGGGTTGGCTGGATAAACAACTCAATAAAAAAAAATGGGCAAAGGACCTAAATAGACACTTTTCAAAAGTGGACATACAGAAGTCCAAGAGGCATATGAAAAAATGTTCAAAGTCACTAATTATCCAAGAGATGCAAATCAAAACCACTATGAGGTACCATCTCACACATGTCAGAATGGCTATCATCAACAAATCAACAAACAAGAAATGCTGAATTTTTAAAAATACCCATGAACAAATAGCGGAGAAAGGGGAACTCTCATACACTGCTGGTGGGAATGCAGACTGGTGCAGCCTTTGTGGAAAACAGTGTGGTGTTTCCTCAAAAAATTAAAAATGGAACTCCCATTTGACCCAGTAATCCCACTTCTAGGAATATATTCCAAGAAAACAGAAACACCAATCAGAAAGGCTATATGCACCCCTATGATCATAGCAGTGCAATTTACAATAGCTAAGATTTGGAAACAGCCTAAGTGCCCATCAGAAGAGGAGTGGACTAAAAAACAGTGCCACATCTACACAATGGAATGCTACACTGCTGTAAAAAAGAAAGAACTCTTACCATTTACAACAGCATGAATGGACCTTGAGAGCATTATGCTAAGCAAAATATGCCAGTCAGAGAAGGATAAGTATCACATGATCTCACTCATTTGTGGATTATAATGAACAACATAAACTAAATCTAGAGACATAGAACCATGGAACAGACTGTCAAACATTAGAGGGAAGGCAGGGGAATGTGGACTGGGGGATGGATGTGGGGGGTAAGAGATCAACCAAAGAACTTGTATGCATATAAGCATAACCAATGGACACAGACAATTGGGCAAGGAGGGTGGTGAAGGCCGGGTTGGTGGGCAGGAGCAGGCTGGGAGAGGACAATGGGGTGGAGAAGGACATATGTTATACTTTCAATAATAAAGACTTTTTAAAAAATACCCATGAACAAATAGAAAAGAGAGACAGAGAGAGAGAGAGAGAGAGAGAGAGAGAGAGAGAGAGAGAGAGAAAGAGAGAGAGACTGAGCAGCCCCAAAGAATCAGTTTCTCACAAACAAAATTTAGGAAACCAGTCAAGGTGCTCTTTCCAACATCTTCAACTGTCACAGGTAGGGCCCAGGGAGTTGTTGTTTCTTCATGGAAGTGAACTCTATTTCACCCTAAGTGCCACCACAAGCACTATTATAGCTGAACCTACCTCACAAATGTCTTTGAGGTGCTTGATATAATGACGCTCAGTGCTCATGATTTCATTGATGACATTGGCCCGCATCTGATCTCGGTTCTGTAGTGGCCGGCCCAGACAGAGACAGTCTGAGTTGGGGTCCAGGTGCCCATTCTGAACGTCACTGGGCCCTTCCTCTACCCCATCCTCCTGGTTCACCCAGAGCTGTGGAAGAAGGCAGAGAAAGAAAGGATTAACTTCCCTCTTTGAGAAGTTTTCAAACAAGTATAAAAAAGGATAAACTAAATTCTTCAGGTATTCAGAGAACCTTCAGAGGCCCCTGTAAACTGCATGCCAGGTCTGGCTCCAGGGTGACTTGTTGACCCTTGGAATGAGACTAATTTTCTCTTGGCCTCTGGTGACCTATCATCTGTAAAATGAAAGATGGGGAAATCATCTTCAGAGACTTCTTAGCTAAAATGATTTCAGAGGAGAGAAGAGCAATGACAATCAGAAGACATAGTGGGGCATATTAGGGAGAATAGTTGCATCAAAATAAAAAAGGATTAAGCTATACATATGAGGTGCCATGGCTGGATTATTGTTAAACACTTATGAGTATGGAAATCAAAGTTAGAAACTAGAGTGGGCATATCCAAATCAGGGCCTTCGGTGTTGATTTTCCTCAAAGCCTGCACATATAAATCATTAAAATTTGACTGTGAAATTCTTGGGATATGCAAATATCTGTACTTCCTCAAGGTTGGAATGGAGATGTCATAATGTCCTTGTACCACATAATAGCAACAGCTGTTTATTGAGCACTTACTATATACCAGCCCCTCTGTTGAGAGTTTTCAGTGAACTGTATTATTCAGTTCTGCTAGACAGGTACCATTATTATCACCATTTCACAGAAGAGGAAACTGAGCCTTAAAAAGTTAGGGATTTCATCCCAAGTCACAAAGTTAGGAAGCAGAAGAGCTGGGATAGAAGCCAGGCAGTTTGGCTCCAGAGTTTTTGGTCTAAACTACTGTGCTAGCTCCTTTTACCTCTATCTCTAAGAGAGACGGAAAAGGAGTAGAGAAGGGATTGAGACAAGGTGAGCTTAGAAATATAAGACTCATCAAAATTGGATACAATTGGTAGAGGTTCAGACAATCCATTCCAAATCATGAAGCAAAGGAATGCAGAAAAAAACTGTTGGGGAGGCTTAATAAGGTATTTCTTGATCTTGGATTAATTAACTCATGGAAATGGCTCATTTCACCCTACTCCTAGGAAGAAAGAAAACTAGGGGGCATGGAAAAAAGGAAGGGTGGTACCCTAAGACGAGTGGCAAGATCTGCTAGGATAATTAGCCAAAGAGCTTGTCAGGTGTCTCTACAAATTTATTCAACTATTCATCTTTCCCTCCCATATCCCACCCCTGGTTTTTCTACATTCCTGCCTCAAGAAGCTAAGATAAAGCAATTTGAATGCATCCCTATTTCTGACAACAAAAAATGTATGTTGGTGGGTGGATTTAGGGGTACAGAAGCTTTGAGATGAAGCCAGAGGGACAGTAGTTCCTTCCCACCTCTGTGTATTCTCCTCTCCCTTTGCCTCACAGAGCTTGGAGAGCATGGTTACCACCCACTGAACCTAGAAATGTCACCAGCATATAGTCTACTTATTTACCACAGTGGTTGGTATATAGTAAGAGCTCAATCCATTTTAATGCATTTTGCATACACAGCCAAATGTGCAAAAATGTGTGTCTACCCAGAACCTATCACCCTCTGCAAATGATGTATTTAAAATCTTTCTACATCTTACAAAGGTCAGCTTTGTGTCTTTGATGTGCTAATAGCTGTCCCTTGATACAATAAATAGGCAGTGATGAAGGATGACTAATTAAGGAACAGATCTGTTTTTAAAAAAGTGATTCTAAGGCCTTGAAACAAACACATCATAAACCTGTCTATCTTTACCAATAAAAACATCATTTTCTAATAATCTATTAGCTTTTCCAGCTTCTCATAAAGCAAGCTAATCCCTGCTATGAAAAGAATACAATAGGCAGGCCTTCAAGAGATAAAAAACCTTTCTTTTCTTCTCAGGAGTAAGACAGTCAAATCAAAACAAAATGTTGGCTTTCAGATGGCTGAAATGAGATGACTCTTTGAAACAACTCGAGTGGGAAGGAGCACAGAATATCGGTGGGAGTGGGTGGGTTGGAAAGTCAGGTCAAGACAGAACCAAATTTAGGTTCAAGTAATACTTCAGATAACAATGAAAGGGCAAGAAGGCAACTACAACTAGGTGGATGCAGATTTCTTGCACAAAATTTGGTGGAGGAGCCCCTTCTGGCAAGAACTAAAGGCATGGATGGCAGGACTCTTCATAAGGAGCTTCTGAGAAGACAAGACCTTTATCTATTATACTGAAGCAACCCCATAAGCCCACTACTTAGGGAAAGATGCTACCTTAATCCAAAAGAATGACTAGTAGATTCATTCATTCATTAAATCTATGTTCAATGCTTAATATATACCAGATAATGGAGATAAAGCAGTAACAAAAGAGACAAAAATCTCTGCCCACTGTGTAGCTGACATTTGAGGGGAAATTATTTTAATTTGCAAAAAGGTAGCATGTAAGGCCTGATTACTGTGCCCCTAAGCCCAGGGTCCCACAAAAAAATCCCCTGGGCCTGAGACAATGACGTTTTGGTAGAAAACTCTCAATCCCTTGCTGTTGAGAGTTTCCCTGTTCTGTGTGATGAAGGTCTTGTCTGCTTGTATGTCAAAGTACATTGACACAGATCAGCACAAGACTTCATCTTCCGTGGGTACAATTATCAACTCTCTCACCAACACACTATGCAAGCTAATGTATACCTGTGTACTTTTTCAAAAATGTTATACATTAACACTGCAATTGGCACACATGGGCTCCTCGGTGACAAGAAAGAAGACAGACAATGCTCAGAGCCTGGCAAGATGGAAGGCTTTCCTGGAAGCCCTCTCAGAGTACCTGAAGATTATTTTCTGCAGCCTTCATTGTGCTCTAACAAGGCTTGGTTAGTGCAATTCAACTTAATAAATGCCTATTTTGGACCTAGTTTGTGCTTAACCAATAACTATGAGAAACAAGGGAATGAGCAAGAGAACTAACTACTCCCGTCTCCCTTAGTTTCAGGGAGTACTTTTCAAAACATAGAAGATCTCTGGTCATCATCTCTTACTTTTCCATTCTTACTGTCATGGCCCCCATTCCCTAAGTGATTTCCGTGGGTGATTCCCAGCTCCAATCCTTCCCCCACACCAATTTCTTTGATTATCACTTTGATTGGCTACTCTCACACCTCCATATACTTATTAGCTGCCCATTGCCAAATCCAAATCTCTTACCATGGAATTCAAATATTACCATAATCCGGCTTCAATCTGCATTTCCTTTCTCACCTTCAACTGTGCCTTTTAGGAATTCTGGGCTCCTTCCAAACTGGTCTACTGTCTATTCTCAAATACTCCAAACTATGGTCCTTAATCCCATGCTCAAACATGGAAATAATATAGTCCACATGCTTTCAAAGACTTAAATAATTATTAACCAATATCACAACTTCCTGATGAAGAAACTGAAGTTGATAAAGGAGAAATAACAGGCGGAGAGCTAGCAGCATGCCCAGATCCCAATTTTGATAAGGCTTTGTATTTTGTATGTATCTTCAATTTCTCCTTTTTTTCCCTCTTTTGTTTTTTTTTAAATTACACAGTAGATTCAGGATTACATTTGCTTCTTAAAAAAGTTAAAATGTAATAGAGAGATCTCAAATTATCAAAATCAAGAATAAAAGAGGAAATATTACTACTAATCTAAAATAAATAAAAGGGATTAAAGGGGACATTATAAACAAGTATATGCCAATAAATTAGATAACCTGATGAAATGGAAAAAATTCTAGAATGACAGAAACTGACTGAGGAAGAAAAGGAAAATTTGGATAAAAAGATCAGACTATTATTCAAAAACTTCCCATCTGGATCAGACCAGATGGCATCACTAATGAATTCTACCAAATATTTAAAGAATAATTAACATCAATTAAAAAACACCTAAGAAACTAGGCATAGTACAGAACTGTTGAAAACTGATGATGGCAATTTGTGAAAAACCCATAGTTAACAGCACACTTAATGGTGAAAGACTGAATGCTTTCATCCTATGATCATGAACAAACATCACTTCCATGCAACATTTGTACTAAAGGTACTGGACAGAAATATTGGAGGGAAAAACACATTTAGATTAGAAAGAAAAACTAAAGCCATTCACATATGACATAATAGTATATATAAAATTAAGAAATCCACACATAAAAAACCCTGTTATAACAAATAAACAAGTTCAGCAATGTTGCAGGATACAAGAACAACATAAAAAGTCAATTGTAACCCTAACTGGTTTGGCTCAGTGAGTAGAGCATGGGCCAGCGGACTGAAGGGTCCCGGGTTTGATTCCAGTCAAGGGCATGTACCTTGGTTGCGGGCACATCCCCAGTGGGGGGTGTGCAGGAGGCAGCTGATCAATGTTTCTCTCTCATGGATGTTTCTAACTCTCTATCCCTCTCCCTTCCTCTCTGTAAGAAATTAATAAAATATATTTTTAAAAAGTCAATTGTATTTTTACACAAAATAAGTCTTTAAAAATTCAAGAGAATTGAAATTATATCAAGCATCTTCTTGGATCACAATGGCATAAAACTAGAAATCAACAACAATAAAAAAAAAACCTCTAAAACATACAAACACATGGAAGCTAAATAGTATGTTATAAAATAACAAATAGGTTACCAATGAGATCATGGAAGAAATTAAAAAATTCATGAAACCAAATACACAAAAACCCCAAATCTATGACACAATGTGAAGGCAGTCCTGAGATGGAAGTTCATAGCATTACAGACCTACCACAAGAAACAAGAAAAACATCAAGTAAATAATCAAACCCTACACCTAAAATAATTCGAGAAAGAACAACAAGCAAAGGGCGAGTAAGTAGAAGGAAGGAAATAATAAAGATCAGAGCCGAAATATGACAAAGAAACTAAAAAGGAATACAAAAGATCAATGAAACCAAGAGCTGGTTCTTTGAAAAGATAAACAATATTGATGAAGCTTTAACCCGACTCATCAAGAAACAGAGAGGAATCAAACAAATAAAATCAGAAATGAAAG